CTAAGTAACCGCTTGGCACTTCAAGTGAGCAGGTCACATTTTGGGCAGCTGCTTCCGCCACTGTAACTGGAGAAGCAAGTGCATGGATGCCGCTCAGCCTAAAGGAGGAGAACATCCAGCAGGCACCTTCCCGTCTCCAATGGTGAGGGTGGCAAATAGCACTGCCTCCGCTCCACTGCCCAGAGGAGAAGAGTGTCGAGCCCTGTGATGACTGTTTTTGGAAGCAGCCAGTACAGGACAGAAACTCCTGACTGGGAACAGACCTGCTAGACTTGAGACTCTTCATCAGTGTCCAGGCCACACAAACCTACCACCCTTTCTTCTCCTTTCTCTGAAAAAAAAAAATAGGGGGCAAGGACTAGGTCTCTGCTAGTCTTTAGGAGACGAAATGGGCACCGGCAGAAGATGAGCAGAAGACAAGACTAAGTCAGAACGCAGAAGGCAAGTCTGAGTAGCACAGCAAGGGTCACTCCAGAGCTGCAGAGGGACAAGCCTGTCGTAGGAACCCTAAGAGGACCCTGCATACTTCTTGAGCTGACACACACTCTTCTTTCTTGTCCCCAACATTTAAGACCCTGGGTTTCACCATTTCCGGCAGCAAATTCTGTGTTGCTGGCCCCAGTAATATCAGTTTTGCATACCTATAATGCAATATAAATAAGAAAGGCATGCAGCCCATTAAAGGAAAGTGGAAATGACCCATAAATCTCTCTCCAGAAAAATCTCGTGCTTCTATTTACGTTCCATCTTTGGGAAGGAAAGAAGTGGGAAATAACCTCAATGCTTCAAATGCCTGCCAAAGACAAGGCATTCTAAATGGCATGGATTACAAGCCCCGTCTGTCTGGGTTTGTTTGGTTTTTTGTTTGCTTGTTTTGTTTTGTTCAAGGTGAGGTCTCACTATTTCCCAGGCTGGAGTGCAAAGGCACAATCACAGCTCACCTCAGCCTCCGCCTGCTGGACTCCGGCGATCCTTCCACCTCAACCTCCCTAATAGCCACACCCAGTCACAAACCCAGTTTTAAGGACTAAAACTCATGTATTTCTTTGGTCTGCAAATACTATTCCTCATTTACTACGTAAAATGATGACATGTATTTTAGAGCTAAAAGTACTACATGAATATGCGAGTCATCTGGAGCATATGCACCTCCCTAGTTTAAAAAAAGAAAAAATATACTTGCTACGGATATTTCATCTACCGACCAAAGCAACACACTACATACTAGTGGCAAGAAAACGCTGCCTCATCGGGTGATAAAACTCTGATGCAAGAGACACACAAAAAGCAGTTTCAAACTCTAGCTGCCACTTCCAGAGGGTGTGCTGCCAAAGGCATGAATGAAGAGTTACTCTCCTGAACAAGAATGACAACTCTACCAAACAGAACCAAGAGAAAAACAAAGCTAGAGAACATTCAAAGACAACTTAAGTATTCTAAAGTGGTCAGATGTTAAGAGAAAGATTAATTTTGAGGTAAGAGCCAAAATAAGAAAGGCTGGCTAACCATATTTTTGGAATCAAAAGCACTGTCCTGAGCTAACATACCCTTCTTAATTAAGTTACAACAAACAATAAGATACTGTACATTGGACTAGCATAGGCCTACTAGAAGTGAAATACAGATTTTGTTACTAAACAAAATATAACAAGCAGACAGCATGTTACAAATAAATTACACTACTTTAAAAGGCTTCTGTGAATTAAATTTGTAAGTGCACAAGGATAATTTGTTACTTAAAGAATGCTGAGGTTAAATTGCTCACCAAAGCAAAGAACTGTATATAAGGCACATAGTCACTTCTCTAATTTGTCAGGTTTGTAAATCCTGAGTTTCAAATATTAAATAAAATCAGGCAATTCACAGAACAAATACAAATGGCTAAACCACATTTGAAAAAATGTTCAAACTCACCGATAACCCAGGAATTGGAAGTGGAAAATAAAGGCGTTTTTTTTACCTACCAGATTGGTAAGAAATGTAAAAGATATAATTATCCAATATCTTCACTGGTAAAAATGAAAGGAAAGGGGAACTCTCATCTTAATGCCAAAATGTGAATTGAAATCCTTTTGGAGAGCATCTTAGCAGTACTCATTAAAATTTATGCACACACACTTCTCGGTACCTACTGTAGAAATACCCATATTAGTGCTCAAGGATTTAACAGAGGTATATGTACTCATGAGAACTCAGTAACAATTAAAATGCCTTTCAGTAGGGGAATGGGTAAATAAACAGGACACATCACTAATCAGTACAAGCAAGAACAGATGTTTTGATAAGGAGGAATATATATACCATATTCTGCTGAGTGAAAAAAAAGCAAGTTGCAGAATGATAGAAAACTGTGATCTTCTTTTAAAAACTGTGTGTGAGTGAGTGAATGAACGGCTGCCTTAAGCAGAAGTTATACCCGGGGATGGGAAGAGATGAGGGTATACGCTTTCACTTTTTGTTTTATACAGTTTTAAATTTTTATGAATTTCACTTTTACTTAAAGTAAAAGGAAGTTATGCTGTTATGATGCTATTAATCTGCTAATCCACTAAAAAGTCAAGAGAGGCTCTCTGGGGGAAGCCATGCAGAGCCCCCTTGTAGCCTAATAATACAGTCACTCTAAGATTTCCCCCAATAAAATCTGCTCAGATGAGCAAGCCTAAAACGGATAATCTTATTCTGAATTATTTTTATGCAGAATATGATACACTTCTAAAATAATGAATCCACTTTCTCCTGGACAATAGAATAAAATTATTTAAGGAATTTCCCAATAGGTTTCCATACCTCTCCCCAACCAAACCAAAAAATTTACCAAAAATAACAGTAGATGTGAAGTGCGTTGGCCCAGAATCTCACCTCTTCAAAATTCCTAAAATCATGTTCAAGCCTGGACCCCAATGTCACCTATAAAGTTCAGGGCCACAACTTTGAAAACCAGAAAGAGGAGGCCCAAACTTTACCTGTACAATGATCAATTGTATGCCTAATCCTGAATTCTACCCCACATCTTTAAAATAAAGTTTAAAAATTAAATAAAAAGGGAAAACCAGAAAGAGCTACATCTTCTTTTAAGCTTTTATAGAAACTGGTATCACAAGCCTTTCGCTTTATCCTCTTTTTAAAAGGAACATCCCTTGATTTCCAAATGTAACTCTCAAAGTGATTTAATCAATAAGGTTTTTAGCACATCCTGAAGTATTAATAAATAATCATATCATAAAGTGTCCCCAGCTAAAATATGTTAGAACAGGGGTTCCCCACCCCCAGGCCACAGACCAGTACTGCGGCCTGTTAGAAACCAGGTCACACATGGGGCGACAGAGCAAAACTTCATCTGTATTTACACCTACTCCCCATTGCTCGCATTACCACCTGAGCTCTGCCTCCCGTCAGATGAGCAGCCGCATTAGGTTCTCAGAGGAGCACGAACCCTATTGTGAACTGCACATGGGAGGGCTCTAGGGACACACACCTCGTGAGAATCTAATGCCTGGTGAGCTGAGTTGGACCTGAGGCGGTGATGCTAATGCTGGGAAGTGGCCGCAGATACAGACTGATTAACACGAGCAGTGAGGTTCAACTGCACAGAGACCACGATAGATCAACTGCTTGCAGACTCATACCAAATTCCTGTCAGGGAGTGGTGAGCAAGTCGAGGTACCTCAACTGCCCAGCTGCATCTGGTGGCAGGCTTTAAGTCAGAATCTGACACATATTTGAGTCCTGTTAAATGCGACCTGCTCATTATTTGATTCACCACTTCCATCTGCACCTCTTTTTTTATGCTGAGTTGCATCATTATTTCACTATATATTACAGTGTAACGATAATAGAAATAAAGTGCACAATAAATGTCATGGGCTTGATTATCCCAAAACCACCCTCCATCCCCCCTCCCCCATCCCGTCCCCGTTTTCCATCCATGGAAAAACTGTCTTCCACAAAACTGGTCCCTGATGCCAAAAAGGTTGGAGACTGAGGGACTGCTGTGCTAAAAAGTGTATACAAGAAGCAACTTCACAAATTCAAAGAAGTTTTTAAAAGGTAACCAACTTACATGCACAATTTCAAAGCGGTAAAAAAGTGCACACCGTGCCTTTTCTCTAATGCACTTAATATTAAACAGCGTTAGGATAATATTTTCCAGGCTGGAATGTACTTTCCGCTTGCCTTAATAATAAATCTATGCCCAGATGGGAAATGTAACCAGAACTAAATAAACACAATATAGATGATGAGCAGGAGAATCAGAGAAATGAGCTAATGAACCTACAATACCTTCACAAGCTATAAGGCTGGCTTAAGAAAAAGTTAAACAGAATGGAGAGTATGAACGTCAGATAACTGATGTGTGTGAAATCAGCTCAGAGGGAAAACGAACAGCTCTCTTTCTGGATGCAATGGGTAGTACTATACATGTTGTCAGATATTTAAGATGAAAGAAAAGTGTGCTACACAGTCATACCCTAGCAATCAGTCAGTAGGATATCAGCAACATAACTTTAAAAAATGCAAACTTTGTTCTGGATGGCCATCAGTAACCTAAACAAAACGAAAACCTTACTAGAATGAGATATGGCCTAAAATTAGCAGTAATGAATCCAACCCAATACACACGTTAAAAGGATGAGGAAGAAAAACAAGGAGGAAGAATAAGAAGGAAAAACTCCATGAATACAAAGTGACCATTTTTTCTCAACACCCACACAAAGACAGCAGTTTCTGGCAAGAATGTTCTCAGCAAAAAATAAAATTATAGGAAGGATTTTTTGGTTGTTTTTTTTTTTTATGAAGAAAAAGGCAGCTCTATATGCAGATTAGCAGGCAATACCATATGATTTTTTTTAAGGCTTAGTTTATAGCCATCGTATTTCAGGAATAGTACATAAATAACATATTTTTTGGATCACAGAGAAAAAATAACTGGAAATACTGTTTCTGTTTTAAATACTTATTTCACGTTGTACTCAAAAATGAAATCCAATGTGGTAGCTTACCTTGGCACTGGAAGCCTTGTTTCCCAAACCCCCTGAAAAACAGAAACAAGAACAAGATATCTTAACATATTTTGTGTTGGATACCATATTTTCAGCAAACGATATGACAAGTACGCTACAGAGTTAAAGGTTTGTGCATGAAACTTGATGATTTGACGGGAAAAACATTTCTAAATATCTAGTCAGATTACTGTGAGATTCAGCTTGGAAAGACACTCTAGGGTGCCTGTAAAGGATGACTGAACTATTTCAATGTGCCAAGCTTCATTCCGATTTTCTTAAGTTTCAAGACAAAGAAATGTGCCCACGTTCAAAGTTGTTGGCTACAATACTTTAGTGACAAAAGGAGCTTATCGTTAAGGATAAAAGGGGAAGTGGCTTAGTTTTGTTCCTAAAGACCAAGTGAAAAATGCTTTCTCCTAAAGACAACAAAAAGTGGCTTATTTGTCATGACTTTGTTTAAAGTATTACTTGTCTAGAAATCGCCAAACAGTATCACTTTTAACATTTACATTTGGCTTAACGAAAGATTTTATGAAATACTGCTCCTATTGTTTGCATTTGAGATTATCATGATCTGTTTTTTCTTAAGAACCAACAACATTCAAAGCACATACAGAGGCTATTTTGTTCGTGCAAATGCCTTGAGAAAACTTACTCTGTAAGCAGAGAACCCTGACGTGGCCATTCAATTGCAACTATCGTTACACGAGAATGAACTGCAATAAAATTTCCTCCAAAGGTCGAGTGTCACACTCTCTCACGTTGACAGAGCATTTTAAACTTACAAAGTATTTCACAGACCTCTATGACAAATCTGGGGTCGCGGCCCCAAAACACCATGCCTCCACCCAAAGTTGCAGCTTTAAACTGCCAAAGCTTCACGATGGAAGCAGACTCGTAAGTCAAGGGCCCGTGGAAGCACGAACGAAAGACACCTGGGGGGAAAACCCACCGCAAAACTCTGTGGGTCCTGGGTCTCGCAAGCGGTTGCCTCCCAGTTACGCAGAGCCAGGCTGCAGGGACGCCCGGGAGAGGGAGACCGGTATTCTCCACGCGACAGCACTCCCGGCGACCTGAGTGCCTCACCAGCTCACCAGGGCTGACCCCTCACGGCAGCTGACAGTGGAAAGCCAGCAGCCGGCCCGGGCGGCGGCGAGCCCTTCTCCACCCCACCGCCGCCGCGGGGGCCTCGGCAGGCTGCCCCTTCGCGGCATCTCGGCGCCGGCGCGGGCGGCGGACGACCTCCCCTCCGCCCACCACGGTGCCCGCCCTCGCCAGGTGCTCCGGG